GTTCTTCCTGGCCTCTGAGGATAGAACAAGAAGCAATGGGCTTAAACTGCAGCAAGGGAGGTTTAGGCTGGACATTAGGAAAAAGTTCCTAACTGTCAGGGTAGTCAAACACTGGAAAAAATTGGGTAGGGAGGTTGTGGAATCTCCATCTCTGGAGATATTTAAGAGTAGGTTAGATAAATGTCTATCAGGGATGGTCTAGACAGTACTGGGTCCTGCCATGAGGGCAGGGGACTGGACTCGATGACCTCTCGAGATGCCTTCCAGTTCTAGTGTTCTAGGATTAAGGAGGAGGGAGAAAAATGTTCTCCTTGAACTCTAATGATAGGACAAGAAGCAACGGGCTTAAATTGCAACATGGGAGGTTCCGGCTAGACATTAGGAAACACTTCCTAACTGTCACTGTGGTTAATCACTAGAATAAATTGCCCAGGGAGTTTGTGGGAAAAATGCATCTTGGAAAAAAGTTACATGTTGAGACTCCAAATGGAACGTTCTCACTTTGAGGTTTTGTAAACGTATGGCAAATTAAAAAGAACAGATTAAAATACCCTCTATTATAATTCAAGCAAACAGAGCAATTGGGACAGGAGGAAGTGGAAACAAAACATCTGTCTCCCATGATACGGCTGAATTCATTTTATTTTTAAGAATAGTTCCATGAGGGATTGATTTTAAAAACAAGAAACTCTTAAGTTCAGAAGAAAAAGGCAGCTGTTGATTCAATACCACATTATATACAAAATCTTTCAAGCCAGCAGCCTCAACATTGTTCCAGATTTCATGTCAAAATTGAAGAGATGGTTCTAAGTTTAATTAAAAAGTGTTTTGGTTCTTTGTTCAGGACAATGTAGAAATAATGTATTATTATTGTGTGAAGGGGGACTCTAAAGAGAGATCTGTTTGTGAGGAATCGTAGAATCCTAGAACTGGAAGGAACTTCAAGAAGTCCAGTCCCCTGTCCTCCTGGCAGGACTAAGCACCATCTGATTGTTGGGCCCAGAAAAACAAGGCCTGGTCAACATTATGCTAAGAAAAGTTAACAAAGGCTAATTTCATAGGCCTCTGAGTATTCTTGACCAGAACCAGGAATGTGGTTCAAACAGAGGCGTACCCTCCATGCTGTCTTAGGTTATAGAAGTAAGATAATTGATAAATTACATATTTGTACCTACTGTAAGTAGAACAGCTTGTTTTGGGAACTGGTAAGTAACTCCCTGTTTCTGTTCTCTTTGCTAATCTTACCTCCCTATTTTTGCCCTTTGTTTGTGCTCAAATCCCTTGTCTCCTTGTTCCTGGTACCTGCCTTTTGTGATTGATAAGAAAGTTGCTGATGCATTATGAAGCGCTTCTGGCCACAATGAATGGTTGGCCAAGATATGCATAGATACTAAAAGTTTTAGAAAGGGTTTGAGTTGCTTGGGTGAAGAGCTTATGACGCGATGAAACTGTCTTTATAAGCCTACCTGTTACTAAAATCGTGGCTGGTTCTCTATGGAGACGGGTCGCTCTCTATTGTTGTGTGCACTCTTCAATAAAGAGCTTGTGATTGGACTTTGCTGGTGTTGCCTGTCTCTTTGCAGTCAGACAACGAACCGAGCCGTTTGGGCTAAAGTCCCTGACATGATCATCCCTAATAGATGTTTAACCAACCTGCTCTTAAATATCTCCAGTGATGGAGATTCCAAATCCTCCCTAGGCAATTCATTCCATTGTTTAACCACACTGACAGTTAGGAAGTTTTTCTTAATGTCTAACCCTTCCTCAGGAAGGGAAACTGAACCCGAGAAAAGAGACTGGTATGGAATCTATAGGGCAGAGAAGGTTATTACGCCTGGTGCTTCTGAGTCTTCTCTACCACGTATAGGGCAGTTTCTGGGGTACCAAAATCTCTGAAGTTGTGGAGAGGAGTAGATCATAGTTCTAAATCTTTATTATTTTTTTTTACTACAAACTCCACAGACGTCAGCCTTTTTTGGCCAGAATGGTGAAATTACGTCTTAATGTAAACTTAGACCTATGCATGGAAAAATGAGGTCAATACTAAGGCAATTACTCCCGCCAGTATCTGATTATCTTTCTCACCCCTTCTAATTTGCATCCTGAAATAGCAGTGCTTTGCTAGATTATCCTTCACCTTCTTTCCATTTCCAGGAGACAGTTTATATCATTGAGGCTTTAAGGTTTCTAAGTCAGCATAAGAGCAGATTAACAACTGTAATTAGCTTCTGGGAGGGTATTTCCCTCACTTAAATGAGCTGATGTTGAGAGTGAAGTTGAAAGGCAACAGGCAGAGATTGCTTTGAGAACTGCAGGAGGAAGAGTGTGATTCCAGAGGGCTCTTAGCTTCCCGCCAGAAAAATGGGGAACAGTGGTAGTTCCACAGTAGATGATCTGCAAGCTGTTGAGATCCACCATTGGTACAAAAAGTTTATGACAGAGTGTCCATCAGGACAGCTGACTGAACATGAATTTAAACAGTTCTTTGGCCTTCGAGGGCTGGATCCAGCGGCCAATGAGTACATTGAACAGATGTTCCGCACTTTTGATATGAATAAGGTATGTTCTTACCCAATGGGAAATGTACAGACAGCCTTGTACTGCTCATAAAGAAATCAAAGTATCACAATCTGATTTTTCTTCTAAATCATGGTCAGCAAAATGCTTTATAGCAAGGGCAGTAAACTTAAAAACATTTAAATCTAAGAAATGTATCTTAGGGAGAGATATGGAGTTTAGAATATTGAAAAAGAGAGGGGACCTTGGCTGTCGTATTGCTGTTAATTTGTGTATTTTAGGTATCCTGTGTATTTATATCAGAGGAGTAGCCCTGTAAGTCTGGATCTGCAAAAGTGACGCGGAGTTCTGTGGCACCTTATAGACTAAAGATTTATTGGAGCATAAGCTTTTATGGGCAAAGATCCACTTTGTCAGATGCATCTAACGAAGTGGGTCTTTGCCCACGAAAGCTTATGCTCCAATAAATTTGTTAGTCTATAGGGTGCCACAGGACTCCTTGTCGCTTATGTATTTATAGTGTATAGGATTGCAGAGTTGTGCAGTTTACATTCTTTTTTTGTATCCTTGGATGATGCTTGAATAAGAGGTACCTGTATCCTCTGTTATGGCACTTCATTGTCTGTCTGTCCTTAGTTTGGTCATCTGCATGATGAATCCTTTTCTCAGGTGCTTGCTATAAACTGCAATGCATCTCTTTTTTAGCTATTATAGCATTGTAGGAAGCAGGTGCAGCCCATTTATTACAGTCCTGTAGTTTGCCCAGTAACAGATACCACTTCAGAATATTAGATTATAAAATAGATGTATTTCTAAATTTAATGACATAAGGTGGTGTGGCAGGGTCAGTCCCACTCCTGACCCCTATTCAGCCCACTGTCCCACAGTGTAGGAGTCACAGTGTATGGCTCACTCGCCTTGGTTTGAGATTTGTTGTCTCCCTGTAGTCTTTAACAAGGTCAATGTTGCTCTCTTGGCTCCTCCAGTATCTTTCTTTCTCCAAACTCCTCCTCCACTCTCCAAAACTCCTTCACAGCTCTCCAAACTCTCTCAGTTCTTCTCAATTCGCTCCACACTCTCACAACCCTCTCTCCATGCTCACAGGGAGGGAGATTTCTTAAATACGCAGCCCCAGTTAGTTTCACCTGGGCCTTAATTGATTTTGCAGCCACCCTGTCTCAGCTGCCCCTAATTAGCCAGGATTGCTGACTCTCTGCAAGAGCTGCCTCTTTCCCCTTCCACCACGCCCTTTCACCTGCTGTATTGCCTGACTTTGAGGTGGAGAGAGGAACCACTTTTCCACTGAGCACGACAGGCTGCTGGTCTGGGCTTGTTGTGCTTTTTCCTCCCCTCCCCTCCCCTCCCTTTTTTTTGTGTGTGTGGGAGGGTGCTACTGGGGTTGTGGCAGGGAGTTCACGTCATTCCCCATTACCTCTGACGCTGGAGCCTTCGGCGCTGCACTCTTAGTGGTGCCGGAGCCTGGTGCTGGGGAGATACTAACTTCCCTCACCACTACCATCGATCCCCCACCCTGCGAGGAGACACCGCAACCCGATGCCTCTACCGCTGAGGCTTCTGACCCTACTCCTGTTCCCTGTTCAGCCCCTCTCCCAACCGAATTTCCCACTTCTCTTCCTGCTCCCCCCTCCTCCTTGTCTCTTTCCTAATCCTCCACCTTTTCCTCCCCCTACTCCCCTTCCTCCTTTCCCTGATCCCTTCCCTGACCTCTTTTCCACCCCTTACACTGTTACTGCCGCCTCCGGGGCTACCACATTCAGCTCAGACATTGGCCCCCGGGAGGTGTTTTTTGTTTCTCCTGCTCCCAGCACATCTGGGGCTGTTCTCCCTCCGCCACTACCCCTGTCGTCATCCCAGCAGGGACTTCAGAGTCCCTGCTTTCCTGCATCAGTCGGTCGTGGGGCACATGGAGGGGTCTGGCCCAAGGCCCCGACACTCGACGTGCTGAGGGGCAAGATGCGCAGCTTCTTGGAGGACATTTGTGGCTCCAAGAATAAAGTGGCTCTCACCCTTCAACGCTGGGGGGATTTCCATCTCATCCTCCAGACCATAAGGGCCATTTTGGGGGAGGGTAAAGGGACTGGGCGGTGGGAGGCTGCGGCCTACCAGCAGGCCTGCGGCTTCCGTGATGCCCTGCTTACATTTGGGTATGATCACGGTTTGCTGTGGGGCCCAATGGGGACTGTCAGCACTCCTGCCAGTGAGGATCTTTCCCAGACCTCTCGATGCCGCCATTCATCATTGCCACTCTGAACACCCGGGGCTGCAGGCAGGGTCTCCGCAGGTGTCAGGTACTCTCCTTCCTTTGGGAGGGGTGTGCTCTGTCGTCTTCCTGCAGGAGATCCTGTACTTCAGCCACCTGTCAGCCAATCAAGCTGGGGTGGCGACCCTATTCTCCCCGAAGCTGCGGCCTGAGGTGCTGGGGTCTGCCGAGGTTGTGCAGGGCTGCCTGCTGCATCTCCGGGTCTGGGTAGAGGGGCTAACATTAAATCTCATTAACATCTACGACCCGACATCCGGCCCGGAGAGGCTTCGCTTCTACCAGCAGGCTGCTGCCTTCCTCGGCTCTTTGAATCCTCATGAGTGCCGAGTCCCTGGAGAGCGGGGTCCTCCCTTTATCGTGCAGGTGAGCGGTGTTCGCCTTGCTGCCCAAGAAGGGGGACCTCCGTGATCTGAGGAACTGGTGTCCCATCTCGCTCCTCAGCACGGACTATAAAATCATCGCCAAAGCCATCTCTCTGAGACTCAAGTCCGTGCTGGTGAACGTGGTCCATCCAGACCAGACCTACACCATCCCGGGCCGTACCATCTTCGACAACCTTTATTTGGTCTGGGATCTCCTAGAGCTAGGGTATAGGGATGGTCTGTCATTCGCCCTCCTGTCCTTGGATCAGGAGAAGGTGTTCGACCGGATGGACCATGGGTATCTCCTGGGCACTCTGTGGGCCTTCGGCTTTGGGCCCCTCTTTGTGGGCTTTCTCCAGGTGCTGTACGCTTCCGCAGAGTGTTTGGTGAAGCTCAACTGGACCCTGACCGCACCGGTCAGCTTTGGGCAGGGAGTATGTCAAGGGTGGCCACTGTCAGGCCAGCTGTATACTCTGGCCATCGAGCCCTTCCTCCATCTTCTTTGCAAGAGGTTGACGGGGTTGGTGCTCCGTGAGCCAGAGATGCGGCTGGTCCTGTCAGCATATGCCAACGATGTGTTCCTCGTGGTCCAGGACCTGGGAGACCTGGCACGGGTGGAGGCCTGCCAAGATGTCTACTCGGTGGCCTCCTCCGCCCGGGTCAACTGGGTCAAGAGCTCTGGCCTGGTGGTAGGGGCTGGGTGGCAGGTGAGCTCCCTCCCACCCACGCTTCAGGCCATCAGGTGGAGCGTGGGTCTGCTACTCTATCTCGGCATTTTTCTCTCTGCCATGCATCCCTTTTCACCGGAGAACTGGCAAGGTTTAGAGTCCAGGGTGGCTGGGCGGTTGCGGAGATGGACAGGACTGCTCCGGTGCCTCTCCCTGCGTGGGAGGGTACTGGTGCTTAACCAACTAGTCCTGTCCATGCTCTGGCACCATCTCAGCATCCTGGTCCTGCCCCCAGGTTTCCTGGATCAGATCCAGCTGCTGCTGCTGCTGCTGTTCTTCTGGCCAGGACTGCATTGGGTCTCTGCAGGGGTTCTCCATCTTCCCCTGGAGGAGGGAGGGCAGGGCCTGACGTGTTTGTGCATGCGGGTTTGTGTCCTCCGCCTCCAGGCTCTGCAGAGGCTCCTATTTGATGCAGGTAGTCCAGCGTGGAGTACGCTGGCGCACGCTTTCCTTCACCGCTTCCAAGGGCTCCGATATAACCGGCAGCTTCTTTATTTGAGAGGTCTTCCGCGAGAACTCTCTGAGCTGCTGGCCTTCTATCAGGACCTCCTCCGGGCCTGGAAACTGCTAGAGGCAACCAGATCCTTGGGAGCCACCATGGGGGCAGACCTCCTCGCGGAGCCCCTGCTACACAATCCCCATCTACGTGTGCAGGCGGCGGAGTCCCCCTTGGTGTGCTGGAGGCTGGTCCTGGCAGAAGTCACAAGGATCAGAGACCTCCCGGACTGCAACCGGGGAGACTGGGTGGAACCTCAGATAATCGCCCAGCGCATGGGGCTCTCCACCCTACGTACTCCCCGGAGCGTGCTACAGGAAGTGAAGGATGCTTTGTCACCCACCGCTCAGGTTTATCTCGACAAGGTCCTGCGAGAGGGTGCACCCCGCCCGCCCCTCACCCCCGGCCCACCTGATCTATCCATCAGCCCTAAGCCCCACGTACCTCCCCGACTGCCTCCCCCTCATCACCCGAGCCGGCTGCACGCATTGCAGCTGGTTCCCTTCCGAAGTGCGCCAAAGAGTCACCTGTACACGCTCATGCTTCACACACTCCACTTCCCCACTCTTGTGTCCCACCCAGACACCAAGTGGCGGGACCTCCTACCACCAATAGAGGGTGGAGAACCCCGGTGGGACAGTCTCTATTCCACTTTGGTTCTGCGGTCCACCGGGGACATCAGCTGGAGAATCCTGCACGGAGCTGTGAGCATGGGCGTGTATTTGGCATGGTTCACCCCCATTCCTGACACTTGCCCCTTCTATGGCGAGAGGGAGAACCTGGTGCACGTGTACCTTTGGTGCACCAGGTTACAGCCCCTCTTTCGGCTCCTCCAGAACCTTTTGTTGAGGTTCTAGTTACACTTCTCCCCTCACCTGTTAATTTATGGACACCCCATCAGAGGCCCCACAAAGTCACAGGACCTCCTGGTCAACCTCCTCCTGGCTATCGCCAAGATGGTAATTTATAAGACCAGGGAGCAGACGGTGGCCGGGGGAGGAGCCTGCGACTGTGGGGCCTATTTTCGTTCCTTCATCTGCTCACGTATCTGGACAGAGTTCCACTGGGCGGCATCTGCTAGCTCTCTCGAGACCTTCGAGGGGCAGTGGGCACTGTCCGAGGTACTCTGCTCAGTGTCCCCATTCAGTTCCCTTGTTTTAGCACTTTGATCTCAC